GGGAGGGCACGCGCGGGGGCGGGAGCCAGGCGTCCCCTGTCCCGGGACAGTGAAGTGGGTGGACAGGGAGAGGAGGGGCTCGGTGGCGCATGCGCGCGGACCAGGGGCGCGGGTCTGGAGACCCACAGGCACCGGCGAGGGCACAGGCTGGGAACGCGTGCGACTCTCGGGGCCCGCGGAACTGTCGGCTACTTCGGGTCCCCGCGAGTGCCGAGCGCCGGCTCCGAACTCTGGTGTTCGCAGCTGGTAGTGGGGCTAGGGGGCTTCGCGGAGTCCTTGAATTGGAGCGACGCTGGGTCCTCTGGTTGTCCCCTGGAGGGGAGGGCCCACGGGCGGGGACATCGGGGCGCGCCCTTCCCACGGCGCCGTGCATTTGGGCGTCACCCACCGGGGGGCGTTTCCTGAGACCCTCAGGGATCTCAGAGGCGAGGTAACCTGAGGACTGGACAGACCGATCCTGGGATCACTGAGCCCGGCCACTCCTGTGGATCTGGAGAAACGCCCGTGGGTTCGTGTCACCAGCAGGCGACCCTCTTTGAGCACCAGTTCCCACATTGCGCCTGACCGTAGTGGGGAGATAGAGACTCTGCCAAAGACACCCTATGGCTCTGCCTCTCCAGAGCCCAGCGCCACGGGGGGGTCCTGTGTTGGGGCAACTTAAGTCTCCTCTGCCTCTGACTGCGAGGCCAACCTGCAAGGGATGAAGGGAGCCAGGGGTGCCAGTGGGCTAGTCGGGAGCGTGACTCTGCCCCAGTGCCCACTCCAACTAGCCTGGAACAACTGCACCCCTCCTTTTCCCTTTCTTTAAATTTAAAGGAAAGAAGTGTTTCTCTGAAGTTAAGATTCTTTATAAGAAAATCCATGGTGTTATAATGTCTTGGTCTTTAAGGGGCACTCTACCACAGTTGGGCTTGCTCACCCACACCAACCCCAGCCCACTGGTTTCCCCTAAGGAAACCAGAACGGCCCCTCCCCTCCTAGCACTTCTTGGGGGAGGAACTTAGAACTTTCTTGGGCGACCCTGGAACACTGTAGTGGCTGCAGGCAGCAGGGTCACAGTGACTTTCCCAAGGTGGTGGAGAGTTGGGGGGGATCCAGAGAACATATTGTAACTGGTTCCTTTCTTAATGTCCTACAGCCAAGGCTGAAGTTCAAGGCCCTGTCTTCCCGGTGGAACTGACACTTGTGGCAAGTTCAGCTCAGGAGCAAGACGTTGTCGTCACAGGTAAAGAGGCTTCATGGAGCTTCCAGGCTGGAATATCGTAAATGCTGTCTTGGGTTGCGATTCAGACTGAAAGGAGAGTTGGGGGAGGGGAGCGTCGGGTAGATTATGTTGTGGTGAAGTAGTAAATGCATTTTCCAGGGCTTGTAAAGCCAGGCAAATGCATGGAACCATGTTTCGTCTCAGAGTGTGTCTGTTTTCCTGGGAACTTCATTTCTTTATGGCAGGCTGCTTTGGCGCTGTTTGAAAGGAGGCAGTATTGCTTTAGGAATGGTCTTCCTGACTGGTTATAAACTGACTAGTAAGACTGACCTGCTGTCTGCTAGCTGTTTTCAGATAACTAACTATGTGGTAGGTGAGTTTCATCATTAGCCATGGCGGGATGGCCCTAAGAAACAGTCAGGTGACCATCCCTTGGCGACCATGTAAAAGTCCAGAGAAAGTGGGCCTGGTGGTCGATGGGAAAAAGCAAAGTGTTTCTTTTCCCACATAGTAAACATGTATGGAAACACACCAGACTCACAGTGTTGGTTAGCAGGGCAGGATCCTGCTGTGTAGTCCATGCTTGCCTGGATCTTGCTATGTAGCAGAGGCTATCCTTGAATTCTTTATATTCCTGCCTCAGTCTCCTAAGTACTGAAAGATGAAGTTGTTCTTTGTAATTTATTTTTGTTAAGCCTATAAACAGAGTCCTAAAGAGCGTGTGTGTGTGTGTGTGTGTGTGTGTGTGTGTGTGTGTGTTTGTGTGTGTGTGAAGGGTGGAAAGAGTGAGAGAAGAGAAAACATGTTTCTTCTGCGTAGACTTTTTATAATTTGCTTTATTTACTATTAGGTTGAGAAAAAATATTTTCATGTGAATAAAATGTACTTTTTGCTTCATTTAAAGGGTATAACATCCCACTAGGTTTAGATACAGTATTTAGTCAATGCATATATTGGTATATGTGAGTATATAATTCATTCATTTCTTTCATGCTTACTGTGTCATTCATGAGCTGGGGGCTACTGTGTCATTCATAAGCAAGGCAGCCATGGACTTTCTCATGAAACTGATTTTCATGCTGGAGCTCGGTTGGTGTAGTGCTGGCCTAGCACGCACAAGGCCCTTGGTTTGATCCTCCGCACCACATAAACCAGGTGTGGTGGCACATGCTTGTAACCCCAGCACTGAGGGGACAGAGGCAGGAGAATCAAAAATATATGATAAGTTTGAGACTCGCCTGGGCTCCATGGGACCTCGTCTCAAAAACAAATAAAATAGTCAGATATGGTGACATATCCCTTTAATCCCTGTAGTCAGGAAGCAGAGGCCGGAGGATCTCTGTGAGTTCAAGACCAGCGTGATCTACACAGAGTTTTAGACCAGCCAGTGCTATACAGTAAGACCCTCTCTTAAAAAATAAGCAAACAGTGATAACAAAGTTAACAAGCAGATAAACAACAAAAAAGAAATTTATAACTGTCCTCATAATGGTTAAAAGATGAAGAGGCTGGAATGTAGTGAGAGAATGGAGATCTTCCCCTTCTGTGCCTAGGAACCTCTGTGCCTTTTCTAAATGTTATGATCATCTGTGGCTTTATGATATTGTCTGAAAATATTTTATCAAAACATCAATTAAAATCTCTCTTTGCTTGATATAAATACATTTTAACTACAATGAATTCTTCTCCCCATGTTTACTCTTGTGGCCTATGTGGGATGGTGATATTCTTGGTGGCCGATGTTTGTCCTAACTTTGTGGCATTGCAGCTAAGGTTGTGGCCTGTTGAATGTCTGCTTTCGGTGGCAGAAGGGAGAGGGCCTCTTTTTATTTCTGATTTGGGAAGCTTAATAGGTACTGTTTTAAAAGATACAGTTTCAGTGGGCGTGGTATAATGTGATTAAATCACTAGCAATCCACGAAATCAGCTTAATGATCAAAGGAATTTATTTGGAGGTAAACTCACAACCATGGGCGATTTATCATAGGGTCAGGGAAAGCCGAGCTATGTCCCACGCCGAACGGCTTGGTCCAAGATCTCAGCATCCAAACCATGAGGCAGCCAAGAGAGAGCCGCTTATGTGCATCCCAGCCAGGTCTTAAAGTTCCCCTTCGGCCATGCCCCAGGGGCAGGTACCTTAAGGTCATAGGCAGGTGTAACAGGTACAGCTGCCTCACTAGGGGCGTGGCTCAAACAGCCACCCTCTATATCTCCCCCTTTAGTCTAAATAAAAAAGTTCTAATACAAAACTCTATACAATAGGAATGGTTATCAAGGAGAACCAAAGGGTAATGACATAAACAAATGGAACTACAACCAGTGAGCACAACATTAAACAAGAGACACATACTAACATCCAGAGAAGTCTAGAGCATAGGTAAATGGCATGTTACAGAGATCATTCCAAAAGGTGTCCTATCCTGAAGAATTTGAATCTAGTACTTAGTATGATCTAGCTAAGATATGAGAAGATTGTAACTGTGACTGTTAGTCTTCAAAGACCTTAGAAGGAATAATAATACCTGAGAAAACAGGAGAAGCATGCAAGCAACTTTTGGGAATCTTGTGAGAGTAGACAGAGACAGCTGGCAGTCTGGACAGTCACCCTAAATTTTCTCAGCATCATTGGTGCATCTATTTTGGCTGCAGGCCTAGAATATCTGACAGATCATTTTCAGAAGCAGGAATTTTGAAAGTCCATGTTACCCTGTCTTGGCAGAGTTCAGTAGTCACTTTTCCTTGTGTCTCGCTCTTCCAGAAAGGACAGCATTTGTACTGTCAGCAGTCGAGGTAAGGGCAGTTCTTTGCCCAGCAGGCCGTTATGCACCAGGAAGAAGACAAACTTCCAAATGGAGTGTCTTAAAAGCCCAACATTCTCTCAGGATCATATCAGTGCTGCCAGGAGCAATTGTGTCTCATATCAACAGAATTCTAAGTTATCTAAATGTCATATTCTCTAGGCCTATGAAGCGTTTGAATATTACCTGTCCATCTAACCTATGTATCTGTAAATCTGGATGACCTAAATAATATAACTATAGAAATGACAAGCATGCGTGACTATAAACCTCTAAGTCTTTTCTACCTAAATAACCTAGCGACTAAGACTTCATATAAACAGGGTAAACAGTCTGTAAACAGATGTACAGTAAAAGGACAATGACCTCAAAATTGTGACAATACACAAAATATTGTAAACAGAGGTAGAAATGTATAGTGCAATATGCCAATATGACAACAATATGTATCAATATACAAAACATTCTAAACAGAGGTAGAACATACATACAGTATGACAAATATAATTTTACATTTGTATCAGTATACAAAATATTTCAAATAGGAGTAGAAATATATGTACACTACAACAAATATGGTTCTGTATTTGTATCAACATACAAATTATCTTAAATAGGAATATAAAAATAGTACACATTTGTATCAATATACAAGAATCCATAACAGTGCAAATTATCTAAGGGTGATACTTCACTAAATTAGGTTACTAGTGTATACAGTAATCTACTTAATGCCCTATACCTATCCATGGGTGCATGGGCCTGGAATCAAAGCCCGTCCTCCTGCGTGGCAGGTGAGAATTCTACCACTGAACACCCATGCTGCATGGTGAATGGAGGCCCCTCGCACACAATAGGTGTGCTCAGTGGTGTGTATGGGACCCGGTGGGGGCACATGTAAGCTGTGGCTAGTTCTAGTTCGAATGGGCTATGGGGAGAGGGGGGGCAGTCAGTAAGTGTTGGTACCCGTACAATAGCTCAAATTAAGGAACGGATGCAAGGCTACCATGGCGTGCGGGACAAAGACGCGGCAACTTGGGAGGGAAGAAGGAAGGAGTGCGCTTGTGGTTAGAATGCAGAAATCTATGCTGCTACTGGTACCAGCAGATGGCACTGGATGTGGGTGCAATCCGTGGAAGCTATCTGGATGGGTAAAAGGAATGGCCAACCCATGCTCCCGTGTAGGGGAGTTGGGCGCCAGATAATGTGATTAAGTCACTAGCAATCCACGGAATCAGCTTAATGATCAAAGGAATTTATTTGGGGGGTAAACTCACAACCACGGGCGATTTATCATAGGGTCCAGGAAAGCTGAGCTATGTCCCACGCCGAACGGCTTGGTCCAAGATCTCAGCATCCAAACCGCAAGGTAGCCAAGAGAGAGCCGCTTATGTGCATCCCAGGTCTTAAAGGTCCCCTTTGGCCACTCCCCAGGGGCAGGTACCTCAAGGTCATGGGCAGTAACAGCGACCGCTGCCTCACTAGGGCCTGTGCTTCAGGGCATGGCTCAAACAGCCACCCACTACAGTGGTGGTGCACGCCTTTGATCCCAGCACGTGAGCTTCATTGGCCGACAGATCTCTGTGTGTTTCAGGGCCAGGGCTACATAGGGAGTTCCAGGCTAACCTGGGCTACACAGAGAGACACTGTCTCATAAATAAATAAATAAATAAATAAATAAATAAATAAATAAATAAATAAATAAATAAATAAATAGATTAATTAAATAATAAGCTATAGTTTCTGTGTATGGGACAATCATTTGCTATGTCTGTGGCTTTAACCCTTTTAATGCACAAAATAAGCTAGATCATCTAAGGTCATGGGCTTAGAGAAAATTAGGCACAGAATTTAAGTCTCCAGCTTGGTGATAAGAGACATCAAGTCCAGGGTGCCTCGTTCACAGCACGTGCTATGCTGAAGAATGCCCTCAGCTGCGGTCGGGTTTTCAGTCAAAGCTTCCTGAGAGAAGAAGCATGTGCTATTTCACAGAACTCGCTTTTCCCTTGAGAGCATTTCCGTTTTGTATGTGCATCAGGCTTCCGGTGGAAAAGAACACCGTGCATGTGGCTTTCTAGACTGTTCTACGGATTTACTTATTCTTCAAGGGTGTGTGTGTGTGTGTGTGTGTGTGTGTGTGTGTCTGTCTGTCTGTCTGTCTGTCTGTCTGTGTCTGTGTCTGTGTCTGCAGCCTTCAATGGCTGAGCATCAAGAGGTGATGAC